AATTACATGACCGATGCGTTGCCATAGATTCTTCACTCGTGCGTTAGTGCATCATGAAATTCCTATAAGGCCTTAATCTTAACCGTCTGACTAATTTCTAATTGATTTACTTTCAAATTTATATCTTTCCTTATTTGTCCAATTTGTTTTAACTCTTTTATTTTATTTCTTCTTCTTTATATATATATAATTTTTAATTATTTAATTATTTAATTAATTTTTAATTCATTTTTAATATTATATATTTTTAAATAGTATTATTATATAAATATAACTATATTATTATATTAATATAACTATATTATATATATTATTAATATACATATATAAATAATATATATAATATATTATATATTAATAAAAATATAAATAATAAATATAAACTATTACGAGTATGTTAATCGATATTTTATTGGTAAAAATATTTTTTTAACAAAATTTTCTTAAATAGTTAATTTTTAATAATTCTATTTTACATAATTTGTAATATAAACCAATAAATATTATATTATAATTATTTTAATTTATATTATATTAAAATTTCAATGTTTGATATTTGTAGCTTTATGTAGTTTATTTTTAAGAATTACAAGCTGCGTGCTTTTTAAAATTATTTTCTAAATAAATATAAAAATTGTACATTGTCTTTTCGATCATTTATCATCTACCAGTACCACCCGGTATACAACAATAACGAGATATATCTGATTCGTTTTGTTCTTTCTTTCTTAAAAATTTTCTCTTTTTCTCTCATTGTTATGTTTTCTGTTGTTTGCTTTTCGATCGATTTAGCGTAGACATTTTTATCGTTATTATCAGCTCTTGTTTCTCTTCTTTTTTTTTTTTTTAAAGAATAAAAAAGGAACGAATGAACACATAACGCGAATGGTTGTTACATATACATACATACATATACACATATGTACATAATATCAGATACATTTACCTATAAGTGTAGGAACATTCGTTTGGAAATCGTGCCAGTGAATTTTGACAAAATGGATGCGTTCAATAAATTTTGCAAAATATTACGGAGTGCACTCGTTTCTCATTCCACCTGTCACGCTCCGTTTTTAATTCCAAATCGATGCACACGTTTCGAAATAATCGCATATCGATTCTTACCAATACGAATTATCTCAATCATGTTCTACTCTTGTCATTGAAACGAATTAAAAATACACGAATAAAAAAAAAAATAAAAATGGTAAAAAGAATTCAATACAATTTACAACTAATTTTTTTTGAATTCTAGTTTTTTTTCTTTTCTTTTTTTTTTTATTAAATTTATCAAATATTTCATTTCAAAGTAATAATATTAATATAGTCTATATAATATATAATACATACT